TTCTGTTTTCTGAACTTTTCTCACGAACGTCAATCTCACCTGTGCGCTGCTTCTAACCGCTCCTCCTTCTACCTCCTCCTCCTCTTTACCTGTGCACTGCTTCTACCTCCTCCTCCTCTTCTTCTCCTCCCTCCTCTTCATCATCATCTTCCTCAACTCCTCCTCTTCTTCATCATCTTCTTCCTCCTCCTCCTCCTGCTTCTCCTCCTCGTCCTCCTTTTCTTCTCCTGGCCCGTTTGCCATAGCCCATGTATTAGCTTCCTCCTCCTCCTCTTCTTCTTCTACTCCCTCCTCTTCGTCGTCTTCTTTCTCCCCCTCATCCTCCTACCCTTCTCCTCCCTCTTTTTCATCATCATCTTCTCCCTCCTCCTCCTCCTCCTCCTCCTCCTCCCTCTTTTTCGTCATCATCTTCTTCCTCCTCCTCCTCCTCCTCCTCCTCCTCCTCCTCTTCTTCTCGTCCTCGTCCGTCGGCCATAGCCGACGTATTATCCTCCTCCTCCTCCTCCTCCTCCTCATCATCATCATCTTCTCCTCCCTCTTCTCCTCCTCCTCCTCCTTCTCCTCTACCGTTAGCCATAGCCTTTTCTTCTTCTCCTCTACCGTTATCCATAGCCTTCGTTCTTTTCTTCCCCTCATCCTCCTACCCTTCTCCTCCCTCTTTTTCATCATCATCTTCTCCCTCCTCCTCCTCCTCCTCCTCCTCCTCCTCCTCATCATCATCATCATGATCTTCTCCTCCCTCTTCGTCCTTTTCTTCCTTCTCCTTCTCCTCCTCCTCCTCCTCCTCCTTTTCTTCTTCTCCTCTTCCGTTAGCCATAGCCCATGTGTTAGCCCTTTTTTTTTCTTTTTTTTTTCTGTTTTCTCACGGACGTCAATCTTACCTGTGCGCTGCTTCTAACTGCTCCTCCTTCTACCTCTCCTCCTTTTCTTCTCCTCGCCCGTTAGCCATAGCCCATGCGTTAGCTTCCTCCTCCTCCTCCTCCTCCTCCTCCTCCTCCTCCTCTTCTTCTCCTCTCTCCTCTTCGTCATCTTCTTCCTCCTCCTCCTCCTCCCTTTGTTCTCCTCGTCCGTTAGCCATAGCCTTTTGTTTTTTTTTCCRAACATCCATCTTCCCTGCAGCGTCATCCTCCTTGTACTCGCCGTCTTCYTCACCTCCCTCCTCTCCCCCTCCTCCTCCTCTTCTTTGTCATCTTCTTCCTCATCCTTCTCGTCTTCTTCTCCTCCCTCTTCACCGCGGGCGACATCATGGCTGGTGACGGAAGCAGCGGGGCTGGGCCGATGACACGCAGGGTAGGCGGTAACAGAGCTCCCAAGGGGAAAGAGCAAGTGCAGCATGATCCCGACAAGCCTTCGTCAAGCAAGTCAGCGCAATCAACAACAACGGCCACCAACAAGGAGGCGACACCCGACACTGATCCCGATCTCTTCCAAGCGAAGAGCGAGGACGACCAGAAGAAGCTGTCGAAGAAGAATGCAGTCTGGAATTGGGTCGAACAGGGACAGGTGGCACTCCCAGCAGGACGCGGGGAGTACTGGCTGAGGTGTCGCCTTTGTTCCAAGGTCTTCAAGGGCTCATCAACGAAGGCGGCTGACCATTTGTTGAAAGTTCAGAAACCGTGTCCTTTTCGGATGGGGGAGATCGTCGACGAGCTTGTTGGTCAGGGACGCAAGGTCAACCCCAAAGACAAGAACACCCGCTACTTGCTGCCGMACTTCAGAGGACTCGATAGGGGCGAAGGGGGGGGCGAGGAGGCTGCGGAGAATGCATCAAATGCTGACGATCCGTCGTCTTGGGCGGTGCCTCCACCTGTCCGAGGAAGGTGTGTTCCACAAGTTGCTGCATCGATCGCAACAACAGATGACGAGGCTGCAGCGATGGGCGACGATGCCGCCGGAGTAGGGGAGGCCTGTGCCAAGGTTGTGGTGGCGAAGACGCAWACCACAATAAGGAAGTGGATCGACAACGACGCACARAAGAAGTTAGATGTMGCGTGGGCGGAARCAATRTTCAGGGCTGGAATTGCTTTCAACTTCCTGAACTTTGACACCACGCAGGCTCTTCATGACGCTTACTTGGAGGTTGCCAATGCAAAGCCGAAGGTCAAGTTGCCTACCTACAAGCATATGCGGACTRTCATGCTGGACTACATCTTTCTGAAGGTGCAGAAGTCGATCAACCCCTTGACTGCTTGTTGGGACAAGACCGGCTGCACATTCATCACAGACGGATCAACAGATCGTAAGAACCAGCCGGTCATGAATTTCCTAGCAGCGGGAGAGAAAGGAGCAGTTCTGGTGRCCACGGTTTTCATGACCGGGAGAAAGAAAAACGCAGCAGCATTGGCGAAGTTGTGGGAGCAGGTGATGCGGGAGATCGGGATCAAACGGATCAACGCGATCTGCACTGATAACGCTGAGGTCAACAAGAAGGCAGCACAGATCCTGGAGCGGCGGACCGACAGAGTTATTGCAAAGATACCATGGGTGCCATGCGGAGCGCATTGCTGCAGTCTATTGTTGAAGGACCTAAGAGTTTGCCATGGGTGAAGGACACAGTGAAGACGGCGAACACGATTGTGAAGTTCATCAGGAACCATCACACCACGCACGGTCTGATGATGTCCATCGATGACTCCTTGTCATTGCTGCGCCCGACAGAGCTCCGGTTCGGGTCGGTGTACCAAATGCTGAATAGGCTGGCGGATAGGGCATAAGTGTTGGATGAGATGGAGGATGGAGGTTATGCAGCGAAGTGAAGGGCATTGAGGTGGTCGGGAGAGAAGGTACAAAAAAAAGCGGACCTTGTCTACTACACTGTGAGGTCAGAGAGTTGGTGGGCCGAAGTCAGGAAAATTGTGGCAATTATGGAGCCGGTGTACAGCCTCCTGAAGAGGATGGACAGGGAAGGAGTTTCTCCCACCAACCTCGTGGAGTTCGACGACCTTATCGCAAGGAAATTGGTAAACGTCGTACTGACGAAGAAGGAGAGGGAGGATGTAATGGACAAAGCTAAGGACCGCGTGAAGATGATGCGGCAGCCCGTTCACGCAGCTGCGTTTTTGTTGGATCCACGGAGGAGAGACCCAGGTTGGCTCAACGACCCGAACAGCGCCCTCGTGCAGAATGCAATGCGCTTCTTCTGCAGGCAGATCAAAGCGGAGTGGGATTCAAAGCCGCACATGGACATGTGGGACCATCTCTACGAGTTATTGAGAGAGCCTGTGTCAGGGGAAGTGAGGACAGATGAACGGATGTGGACACCGGGTTCCATCGCGCAAGCAACACGACGTACGCCGGCGGACTGGTGGTCCTTGCACGGTGGGGATGTTTCCAGTTTTGCAGGAGATCGCCATCAGAGTGTTGGGGATGTGGARCACGGCGACACCGGCGGAGCGGAACTGGGCGTCGATGGACTTTGTCCATTCCAAGCGCAGAAACAGCCTCTCGCCGGAGTCCTTGGAGAAGTTGGTTTACATTCACTGGAACRTGCAGTTGATGCGTGTTCCAAGTAGCAAGGACAATGGCTACATTGATGTTTGGGGATCCTTCTTCGAGCCGCTGATGGAGCCGGCAGCGGAAGATGGAGCGATCGAGGACCCCGCGGATCTTGAGGATCTGGTGTGGAAGGGGAAGTGTTGGGACGAGTCCACTTCCGAGGACGAAGACAGTGAGGATGACATCGTAGAGGACTCAGATTTTGAGTTGGGGGTCAAGCCGGCAGTGCCAGCCACTACGTACGTAGGTCGGAGGCTTGGGAGGCGAGCTAAGGAGGCGAAGGTGCTGCCTTCAGAGCCCATGGAGAGACTGGACACTGATATCGAGTTCTTGGCGCACCCTATACAGTCCCCAACCGATGCAGACGAGGAGGAAGCAGCTCGGGCCAAGGCTATGGCCGACCGGGATGCTGCTTTGGTTTAGAGGCGGATGTGTGAGGAGGAGGCTCGCCGTGCTGCAGTCCCCACCCGGAGGGAGACAGAGAGACAGAGCAAACAGGCCAGCCATCATGAGGAGCAGCATAGTGAGGACTCCGAGGACCAACGTTGTGTGGACTCCGAGGACAAGCGGTCCACTCCGGCAGACCACCGTACCCAGCACAAAATGAGGATGCCCAACAAGACAACATCTGGAAAAGCAGGGCGGGGCAGAAGAGGAAGGCTCCAACAAATGACGTCCCCGCACCTGGTGCACCACATCGCGGTCGTGGGAGGCCCCGCAAGGAGGAGGGGCACAAAACCGCAGCGAAGTCGAAACGTCGTCGTGCCAGGACCCGCAAAGTGCAAGTGTCGCAGGACGACCCCGACTCAGATGGCCATGGTTCGGAGCCGCCCGACGACGAGACTAGCGAAGGGGATTCCGAATGAGAGAGAGAGAGAGAGAGAGAGAGAGAGAGAGAGAGAGAGAGAGAGAGAGAGAGAGAGAGAGAGAGAGATCCACGGATAACATGACGAACTGCTGCGGATCTTCATATTGGTCATATTACCCGTGATGAGTCAACTTTCTGTTATTCTTCTTCTTGACTTCTTCTCCGTTCTCTTTTCTACTTCTACCGTTCTTCTTCTGTTTCTTCTCCCTTTCTGCTCAATATTGTATGGCCTCACTTCCACTTTGCATGCATGATGCTGTCTGCAGACCTGCAAACCCTGAACGCAACAACCCCCTCGCCACTCACAACCAGGGCCCCAAAACCCTGCTCCAGACACGCCGCTGGCACTAGAAGCACACCATGGCCGC